GGTTTAATTCTAGTTACAGCTAGTAAGTTATATGTTATAACTTACTAGCTGTAACTAGAATTAAACCACTCTTTCCTTAACAGTTTTACTGAATTACTTTAAAAAGATATCATCAGCAAGTGATTCTAATGTCCAGTTTACACTTGACACCAATGTTTTCTAATTTTGAGATTGAAGTAATAAATGATCTTTAGATCACATGGAGTGCTAGATAAACTATTTTAAGAATGTAATAAGGATCTTAAAGTCACACGGAGTGCTAAATAAATTATTTTAAGAATGTAATAAACTATCTTTAGATCGCAAGGAGTGCTTGATAAACTATTTTAAGAATGTAATAAGGGATCTTAAAGTCACACGGAGTGCTAAATAAATTATTTTAAGAATGTAATAAACTATCTTTAGATCGCAAGGAGTGCTAAATAAATTATTTTAAGAATGTAATAAAGGATCTTAAAGTCACACGGAGTGCTAAATAAATTATTTTAAGAATGTAATAAACTATCTTTAGATCGCAAGGAGTGCTTGATAAACTATTTTAAGAATGTAATAAGGGATCTTAAAGTCACACGGAGTGCTAAATAAATTATTTTAAGAATTTAATAAAGGATCTTAAGGTCAGACAGAGTGCTTGATAAACTATTTTAAGAATGCAATAAAGGATCTTAAGGTCATATGGAGTGCTAAGTAAATTATTTTAAGAATTTAATAAAGGATCTTAAGATCATACGGAGTGCTTGATAAACTATTTTAAGAGAGAGGAGAAAAAAAGGAACTTGTCCTCTAAATGTTCAACATCCAGAAGTAAAAATAACTCGGTCTTAAAGCAATTACAGAGTTGTTCAATTTCCTCTTAATAGTGTGTTATCTTACGGAAGAGGAGCAGGTGTATGATTTAAAACAAACAAATCAATCTATAGATCATTAGGAAATTTATAGAACTAAATAGCAATACTTTGATGTTTCAGAGTTTCTTTTAGGGAATGAGGTAGTAATATTTTCAAGGTTCCTTTTAGTGAATGAGGTAGTAATATTTTCAAGGTTCCTTTTAGTGAATGAGGTAGTAATATTTTCAACGTTCTTTTAGTGAATGAGGTAGTAATATTTTCAAGGTTCCTTTTAGTGAATGAGGTAGTAATATTTTCAAGGTTCCTTTTAGTGAATGAGGTAGTAATATTTTCAAGGTTTCTTTCAGTGAATGAGGTAGTAATATTTTCAAGGTTCCTTTTAGTGAATGAGGTAGTAATAGTTTGGTGTTTTTAAGATTTTCTTTTAGTAAGCCATATTAATTTGAAAAATTTCTTTTTCAAACTTTCTAGTGGTTTGAAGGAGTAGCGAAATGTAAAGCTGATGACACACTGCTTTCAGTATTGGAGACTCTTGTAAAAGCAGAGGTGAGAAAAATGGTTTTGATCATGAAATAACTAGAGGTTTTCATCTATTTTAAAATTGAAGATATGATAAAGTACTGAAGAAGTTTTATGTCTTATAAGATGTCTGAAGCTAGTATGATTTGTTTTAGATAGTGGGTACTCTTGATATTTATTGCAGTAATATATCTGTTTGATAAACCACATTAGAAGTGTGGCTGCAATTGAAGTGTTAAGTTTATATGTCTGAAAAAAAATCTGTTTTAGCAGTAATTCAGTGCAGTTATTGTAGCAGTAAATCTGCGATGATTATAAAGTACAGTATTTATGGAAGTTTGTGTAAAATTGCAGTGATTTAGTTTATTATTGTAGTAATATATCTGCCTTAAGTGATTATTATTTGGTGTAGTTATGTTGCAGTATGTCACTACCAAATTATTACTGTTTAGTGCTAGGTATTATAGCAGTTATGTCATGAGGTTTTAGTGACTTATATTCAAAATTTTATTAATCTACTTTTTATGTTACACGAGTTAGTATAGCAGAAAACCTTAGCTAATAATCCATATTTTAACGGTATACAAGTTTTAAGTTCTTAATTTTATAAGGCAATATTTAAAAAAAATCCCGAATTTCCCCTAGTGTGACACAAGACACATTTTCTCTATGCATCTTCTCTTCTCTATTTTATCCACTACCCCTCCAATAAGTACGAAATTAAACATAAATGACTCACTATAAAATCGTCATTGCTCTGACAAACCAGAATTTTTATAACTTTTTAATAATTTAGTCGTAGCTATGTTTTTCCTATAAAATCGTCATTGCTCTGAAAAACCAGAATTTTTATAACTTTTTAATAATTTAGTCGTAGCTATGTTTTTCACATGAGTCTTGATTGGGGTCATCAGGTTCATCGACTAGTGATAGTGGATGATGAGAACCGTGTTGTTGGAGTTGTCTCTCTTTCCGACATTTTGAAGTTCCTTGTGTTAAGGCCAGCTCGTAAGTAATATTTTCAAACTTCCAGTTTGAACCAAATATCTTTGTTCTTGATACTCTTGTGCGCATCATCCCACAAATTTTCAGTACCTGTGCTTCAAAGTTTTGAAATGTTTGTAGAGACATCTAAGTAACATTTTTTTAAATAATGAATGAAGATGTGCAAATGACAATCTTTAAGTTTTAATTATATAGTATATGAGAAAGTTTAAAAGGGCAGGTTATAGAACACTGTTCGTGATGTGGATTTAATAACTATATTTGTATGTCATGTCCTACTATGAAAAGTTTCGTACTAAAAGGTTTTAGGTTAACTTTTACAAATCAACTAGGTAAAAAAATAATTTTATAAACTATGTAACAGATTTGACTGTACAGTTTTGCAAAAGATTTATTTTAAGGCTCATTGAGTGTCACGTGCTGGTTACAGGTGAAGAAAATCTAACCAAAATAGACAAAGAAGACTCGCAAACAGAAATCTCTCTCAACGATGTTTGTGAATAAGTTGTCTTCATTCCACAGAGTTTGGTCCAGTGTCAGAATGTCATCACTTGGATTGTTAAAGGTGGTTCACTCACCTCAAAGAATATTGAAAGTGTAATTTGTTTTACGATAATATTAAAATAGGGGATTTGAGTGTTTGTCGATATATATACACCAATTACTGAATGAACGTCTAACCAACATTGATCAGGAATCATGGCTGTAAGTCCCACAACTAATAAGATATTGCTTATTTTCAGAAATAGACACAAAGAAAAATTGAAATTATAATAAAAACCACGTAAAAATGTTTAGGAGTCTTAGTTATAAAATGAACAAGTAAACCTTTTTGGTGAGCAATAAGGCTCAATACATAATATATTGAATTTTCATGTGTTTCAGTAACTAACCAATTTGACTTCCAGTGTCTAAGTAGAAATTAAGATAAAAAGATTATTTTTTGTTTCTTCAGAGTTTGTGCCTTTTTTATATAGAAGTAATGTGTCAAAAAGTTTTGTAAACTCAATATGTACAGTGCTGTGTAAATATATCTGTTGTATTTTTGGATGGAAAGCGTAAATAGTTTACTTGATTTATGGCAGTTGCCTAACAATGTGGTAATTAAACTTGATATCAGTACTTGACACCCAAGCTTGTTTTTCTGCCCTTTTTTCCCATAACACAAGTTTTTGTTCGGTTTTTTAAAACATCTCATAAGAGAAAATAATTGCTGATTTCAAAATGCAAGTCTGAATTTAATACAGATTATTTTGATTTAATATGTTTAATGTTGTGATCTTGAGTGAGAGAGAAGACTTCTTATATGTTCTTGCTTCTTATGAACTTGTTCAGTGTTAATTTGTTTTTTAGGTGGAGGTGTTTAAAGTGTAATGTGATATTGTACAAGAAATGCAGTTACGAGACTCTGATGACAGGGAAACAGTCTTTGAGACCTAAAAATATTAAACCCTTTGATGGATGGGTGACTGACCAATCAACTTTAACTACCTTGTTTATGACCTACCTGTGTATGAATACATCACTTGAAATTGGTCTATTTGATACTGTGTTTGCAAACACATTAAGGCTTTGAAGGAACAGTATATTTAGCTTTGTATCTTTGCAAGGCTTTCAGCCATTTTCGGGAAGTTCCGAGAAACTTGGGCTGCCTGGAAATGTTCTATATACCTATTTTTTACCCTAGATATACAATCAACTCATCACAGTCCACGTCTATGTTAACATATCGTAAACTCTAATAAGTTAAGTTCATAGTATGTAACATTATAGCAGTAGTGACTTCATCAAGTTTTTCTGAGGAGAACTGTTTATTGTAGAGAGCTGTGTGAATTGTATTTGACAAACCAGACTGTAGAGATTTTTTTCATTTCTCCACGACTTGCAGCTACATATTAGTGACTTCCACACCTCTGTTAGATGAGCTGAAACATCCATCAATTGTTGTCATTCTTTTGAAATCAGCATACTAAAGATTAAAAGAATGTTTGTAAAAATTGCTTCCCATATTAAAGATGCATTGGTTGTATATTCCAACTGATTTAAGTTAACAATCCCATTTATATGTAATGAAAGTGTGTATCCATATACGAGATGTACACTAAAACTTTCTTCTCAAAAAACACTTTAAATGGAAAATTTAAGTTTCAGACAATCTTTTATCATTTTGTGTGGATGCTTTGAAAAAGTCACAAGATACCTTATTCATCAACTTCTGTTATCCTCCTCACTATGTTTCTATAAAATTGACAATAATATGAACTCTTTATGCCTGCTTCTGTAAAGTTTCACAAAAACATGAGGAAGTTTTTTTACGAGCAGCAACAGCATGACGTAATTATGGTTACTGTGTCTCACACACAAATATTATATATGTAAGTTTTAGAATTTCAAGAAGAAAGTAAAAGACTTACCATACAAGTAACAGATGTGTGATTGGTGAAATCATATATATATAACCTATAGTTCTTAAGTCGAGCCATTCAGTGAATTTTCCCCAAATGAACAGAATTCATGGCGATGTTTTAAAGTGTGATTTAAATACGTTTTTGGTTTACATTTTATTCATTCTACTGAAGTAACGGCAGCTTTAGTACAAAAGTATGTTCGTATAATAGTTTTGATTTTTATCATGTATGTTTTGCTCAAAGATATTATGCAACTTGTTTTATCTTACAGACTCTTTTGATCTAATTTATGAAGTTACCATATTTGTATTTTTTCCCTACAAAGTGACAAACTTGGGCCTAAAACCGTATTTTCTTATAATGACCAATAAATAATGCAGCCACTGTATTTTGTTTCCAAATTCTTAAAGGTTAGTAGAGCAAGTGATATTAATAAACTTCAATAATCACAAAGATAGTTGTGTTATATTTCTAAAAAGCACGTGTTAACTTCTTTTTGTGTGTTGTTTCATTTTCTCGAAATGTAAATTGCACAAAAATCAACACATTCTTGCTGTAAAAATTAATATAAATTTAAAAGGAACAAAACAAATGATAGGTTTAATTTATTTTTTGATATCTTCGTACTTGGATACCATACATCACTAGTTATTAACACTTCCACAACCACTTGATGTATCTTACAAAGTAAACAAAAACATGCGATTAGCTATTCATCACTGAGTAAACCTAATAATATAAATTATTCAATTCTATACATAAATTACAAGCAAATCAGAGAAAAATATAGTTTGTTCCTGACTACATGTTTAAAATTTATACGGCAGCCTGCCAACTGAACAGGAAATTCTTAGGTTTACAGCTTAGTGTTTTTTTTTAAGCTGGTTGTAAGAGAATAATAGTTTAAGTTAACAACATGCTATGTAAAGGAAAATTAAAATGTCATGACTGGAGTCTGTCACATTAAACAATATTAGTGGAACTCAAGAGCTGGAAGAATCAAACTTCTCCACTAAGGACTTAAACATTTATTACTTAGAGAACAAACTTTATAATGGAAACTAAGTATTGGAATAACTTAATAAATTTTATAAAATTGTCCATCAAACATCTACTGGCCCTTATTGTTCTTTTTTCATATTCTTATTTAAGTAGGTGGAAAAAAAGTGAGCAGTTAAGTAGGGAACTATCAGTTGTGTGAGTGTTATTTAACTGCAGCTGAAAACTATTGTTTTATCTCTATGTGAAATATTTAACTTAACATTCATCTTTCTTTATATACTGCTTTAAAAACAGGCTGTTGACAAACTTCTCAATATGGAGAACAATAAGTTTTAGTTGCACAGAACGGAAATATGCTCGAAACACTAGTAGCGAAAGTTATCAAAATAGAATAAACACTTACGGATCAGTTCATGAACAAAGAAAATATTAAAAGTTTAAAATTCTTCAGAAGGTAATTTTTAAGTGACATAGAGACTGAAGAGAAGGCAGATAGTAAATACCATGTATTAACACCTTGTTAAAGACTAAATATTTGATAACATCTTGGTTGTTTTTGGCAGTAATGGAACAGTCCATATACGAGTGTACTTCCACACAAAATAAAACTTTCTTCTGATGCATTTAAGTCCTAACTAAGGTTAACTAATCACAAGAGTGAGTAATAAGACCACTGAACCAGATGACAATTTAAAAATCTCCTGTATCTTTAGATAATAAATAAACTCAAGTCGATGTTAAACTAAAAACATTGTTTTATTTCAAGGTGTGTTAATATAGTGAAATGTCTGGTTGTTTTGAAATAATACAAACAATGATTAACACACCTTGAAATAATACAAACAATGAACAACCAGACATTTCACTATATTAACACACGGAACTGTAATTTAACAAACAACTTTTTCTTAATTTTAGGAAGGTCTTAAAATTGAATTTATTGAAAGTGTCAAAAGACTGAAAATGTAAAGGTTTTCACCTGCTGGTCAGGTGTTAAGTTTATCAAGTTAAAGTATGTTTAGTGTTTTTAACCTGTTTAAAAGCAGTAATTGATTGTTATTCAAACTTCCATACGCACGTTTAGGGTTATGTTTTTGTAATATATGAAGCAATAGTCTTACTATATATCAAGTTTACTTAGATATTAAAAACAATTAACTTGCCACAAAACAAGCTTGTGTGTGTATTTACCAAAGGAAGAGTAAACTGACAAAGTTAGAATTACTGTGAAGATTGGAACTATCTTTGTTTGGGAGTCTTTACGACAATACGTTTCTAAAATTGGTGAGAATATAGTTACATTTCTTCCCACAACAACCGGACATTTCACTCTATTAACACACCTTGAAATAGAACAACCAGACATTTCACTATATTAACACACCTTGAAATAAAACAAACAATGAACAACCAGACATTTCACTATATTAACACACCTTGAAATAAAACAAACAATGAACAACCAGACATTTCACTATGACGTAACATAATTGTTGGAGCATATTATACTGGTAAAAGGTTAAACGCTGAGAAAACTATACACACTAAGCACCAAAATTCAAAAAACTCAATATTGAGCATCCATAAAAATTAATTAAATTAGTAAGTTGCAATTACAAATCTGAAAGTAAAAAAAAAGAACATTTTGAAAACTCACAATAATTTAAACATTTATGGAAATTCTACAATATTACCAAGGTTTTAAAGTATAAACACTGTGATTTTTTAAGCCAATTATCAGAAACCAAACCTGTCTTAAGTAAGCAAGTTCGAGGTCACTGTAGCTTCTTAACGGAAGAAAATATTAGATTCTGTATTATTTCTTTGGTTATTGAAAACATATATAAATTGATAAATAAGTACATTAACTACAGTGGGACTTTGACAGTTAATAAATATTCTTATCATTAGCATACTCGTAAACAATCAAAGCATATCCAACTTAAAGCAACTTACCTAATCTCCGCATGCCATTATTCAAGACAAATACTTTATATTAACACAGAAATATAAAAAAAACAGGTATTCTAATTCAAACAACAGTCATATTCACAAGATAAGAGTCTGAACTGCTTAAAATAAGCCATTCGTAACAGTCAGAAATTACTCATTTTTTAATACTTTCCAAACATCTCTCCAACATTGCTTAGAAACATCTTTATCATAAGACTTCTTGGGGGCAAATGTAACAATGGGGATTTTGTTTTTAAATTTTCTCAGACTTTTTCCAGAAACTAATAGCATAAAACAACTTGTGGTAATTGGTATAGCACCATCTAGAAGTCTCACCTTACAGTAGTGCTTTCCTTTTAAACCAATCCTTAGGATGTTTACAACTTTATATTTTGTAAATAACTACATCCACTCAAGTAAGTAGTTCAATTACTATTGCCTCCCTGAAAGATGCGTGTTTTCGCTTCTTCTAGGAGGAGGGGGAGGGGGAATCTTTTTCGTTAAGGGGGGTTGTTTTGAATGCCTACCTGTTGATTTTTTTGAGTGATTATGATGGTGTTGTTTAGAGTGGTGGTCAGCCTGTTCTGATGCAGAAGGAGGATGAGGTGGTGTGTGAGTGGCACTAGAGTCTGCAGCAGGCAGGAAACATGGGTCTCTGAAACCCATTATTTGGTGTGGTGTTGCTGTGAGATCTAGGGTTAGTTGCTGGGCAACCTTCCACTTCTTCTCCATAACCTGTTGAAGGTCATGAAGAAAAATCTCAGGAGGAATGCCACTTAGCTGCTGGTGTTCTTGTCCACCATGGCTGCTGGTTGAAGAAGACCTATGCACAGCATGGGTTCGATGTGCCAGTTTAGTAGCCTCACTTCTTTTGGGAGGATCTGATTTTGGGTAAATAATGTGCGATTGGTCGTGGAAAATAGCATCTGGAGTTGGAAATTGTGATGGGAAAGTACTTGAAGCCTCTGCAAACCGAACACCATGAGGCTTTTCAGTAGATGATTGAGAAAAGGATATTCCTTTCTTTATAAATCCATGCTTGGGACTTTCTGGAGACTGTGGTTGGACTCCTGACCTTGGTGAAGTTCCGTAGCATCTAACTGCCAAAGAATCGATTTTCTGTTCTGGTTTTTGGACTGACCGAGGTGATGTATTACTCTGAATTGGTTTTCTACTCGCAAGTGATTGAAGAAAAATCTTGGATAGACTATCATCTTCTAATAATCTTTGTTCTCTGATTTGTTGTTTAGGCTTTGGAGGTACAACTGGGGCATTCTGTGAAGCCTTCATTTCACTTTGATTTATCATGTAGGTATGCCAATCTAATACTTTATTTACTTTTGACGTATTTGGGCTATCTGTAATGTCGTGTGGGGGAGGGGGTAAGGAATTTAAGCTAGTAGTGCTAGGCCAATTAGACTGATCATCTAACTGAACAGATGGAGGTGGTGGAGGTAAAAAGTTCAAGTCGATGGTACTGTTGAAAGCTTCTGGTGGAGGGGGTGGCAGTAAATCCCTCTGTAATATGTCCTCACTAATTTCAAGTTCAGGAGGTGGGGGAGGAAGTGGAAGGTCATCAATGTTACTAACACTATTAACAGGAGTTACTGTACAACTATCTGTTGCCGTGGTTTCAACACCGTTACTGTTAGCAATTGCTTGAAGTTCTTCCATCTGTCTCGTCAATGTGCCAGAATCAATGGAATGTTTTCTGTGAGAAGTCTTCGCAATACCATTCACAATAATTTTATCATCTGTATGGGAGCGTTGCAAACTAAACCGAGTTGCCGCATTTCGGCTCAGGGTGCTACTGCTGGCATCGGTGTTATTGTTGTTTTCTTGTACCGTATCTAAGTGAACAACATTATTATGAGAGTCATCGGACATAGACTGTTTCGCTATTGTACGAGTTGTACTGGTAAGAGGGATCTTAGGTGCCATGTTAGGCTTACGTTTAATGGTCCCAACAGGAAAATCTGCTTCGAATGCAATCTGGTCATTCGTAGGAGTGCTCACACTAGAACAGCCACTACTACTGCTACTGGCACTAGACTTGATAGAGTCTCGTCGAACGACTGAACTTCTTTGAAGACTACGTTCAAAGGACAAGCGCTTCGCTGTCACATCAGAACCTTGACTACACCTAAAATCTGCACGACTTCTTACTGACGAGTGGGAGACACGCCTCTGTTCGACAATGGTATCACTCTGCTGGTCAGGTACTGCTGCTCTACCAGAGGCAATGGATAACGTTTTAGCCATAGAACTGACAGAAAAACTACGAGCATTAGCTAATGATTCCAGGTCTTCTTCTTCAATGTCTCTTAACACATTGTCATAGTTTTCTTTCAGTTGGTGGCCAAACTATAAGAAATTCAACAATTAGCAAAAATATAAATATCCCCCATTATCAAATCTATGTCATCACATATTTTCACACTTAGTCACAAAAAAAAAGAGAAAAACTTTGTATTGAAATATCAAAATCACTTGAAACCTTAAAAAACAATCATACACATTAATATTAAATTGCATCAGACTTAATTCTATAGATCCTGGAGATAATTAATTAAATGTCTCGAGGTATATAGTCTTCACACATACATTACTCGTTATAATACTATTTTCACTGAAATAAACTATCTTCTAAACTCCACTCAATTTTAAAAACACAACAGAAGATTAATAATGGCTGGAGACGGCTTGAATGGGTAATGAAGAAAAACTTTTAATATAACAGCAAATGTACAACGTTTCGACAAGGTTTTGTCATCATCAGGTACAAATGATGATGATGACAAAACCTTGTCGAAACGTTGTACATTTGCTGTCATGTTAAACTTATATTAAAGTTTTTCTTCATTACCCATTTAAGCCGTCTCCAGCCATTATTAGAATGAAAGTTCGTTTTTGTTTTAACGTAAATATGCACATTTGGCTATCATTGGCATCCTGATCCTCCAGAGCACAACCAGAGCTTTGTCAATTTGATCACACACACACACATATATACATATGTCTGTTTAAATATGTTTAATAGTCAGAGATGTTGTAAATTACTCTCATTTTTAACAATACTGCAGTTGTTTGTGTACTGTACTTGTATATTTGAAAACTGTCAAGCGTATTATAAAACTCTTTCAACCTGTGAAAAGAAAACTGTCAAGCGTATTATACTATAAAAGCCAGTTTCTACTAAAAGATTCACTAGATTTTCCTATGATTAGGGCATTTTTTTGTTGTTGTTGTCGTTTTTACTTTTAGTTATGACTAATTTTCACTTACTGTTGATTACCCTAAAAAAATACACTGGTTCACATAACAGACAACGAAACATAATTTTAAATATCCTTACAACACTGTTGTCTTCAATTCTTTTAATTTCGAAAGTGTTTTTTTCCTTTTAACCATGCAGAATCTGGTGCTAAATCATCAGTCTATTCTTAAATGTTTCTCTGTAGAATCAATTCGACACTGTATGCTTATTAGACAATTAAGGTCACTTGAGATTACCGTATGTATGTCATCCATTACTGTTTATAAGTTCCGGTGGTCTTAGAAATTACAATACAAATATTTCAAAACATAATGGTTGGTAAAATGGTGGGAATTAATGTAGAAAATGCATTCTATGGTTGTAACTAATTGTTAATATAGGTATGCATATGATTAGTAGCTAAAGATCTGATCTAATAGGTGTCAAATATATGTATTCTTAAATCAATTATCACTCAATTGTGCTATGTTGCATATAAATCAGATTTAGAAAGTGCTAAAAGGTTTTCGTACATATAATATAGGAAATTGTTATTACTAAATTATAATCAACTCTTCATTTCTTTCGTGAATATAGCTGGGTGTGACCTAGTAGTTATCGTGCCAGGATGTAGTGCAGATTGAAAGGTACAAGGTTCGAACTGTGATATGATCATGCTCTGTACTTTTACCTATGTGGGTTGTTTTAACTGTAGAGTTCAGTTCCTCTTTTCGGTTGTTAAATGTAGACGTGTAAACAGCAGATGATCCTGACTGGTGGTTTCCTCCCTCTGGCCAGTAATTTTATTTTGGTTTTAATTGATGGGTGATTATACCTGAAACTGCTTCCTGCTCTAGTCGTTTAGTCCTGCTGTCACATAAGGTGCCGTTCAGGTTGAAAATACCAATGACTACCATCTAGAAAATCTTTTAAGAACATTTGGTATACGATTTTACAATCTTCTTATTTATTGGTGATGATTTCAAAAGGATTTCTATCTAATCCTATACATGTATTTCTAATCTGTGTATTGTGAACAAGACGTTGTTCAGAAAATATTACATCTTTAATTATGTATTATAATATTAGCGTGATTTATAAAACACTATTATGAAAAGCACATCAAGAGTGTCCATAATCTTATGCCGTGTCAGTAAATGTTAACAGGTAAGTACTTAATTGTATGAACTAAGTTAAAAACAGACTATATTAAAAAGGATATTTTGATCAATATTCTCACTGTTATCGTATGCGTTCCTTTTCAAAGAACTAAAATTAATAGGGTGATTATAAATGGCACGTGTCCAAAAGCCTCGAGCTTCTCAGTGGCACAGCGGCGGACTTATCGGGCTAGAAACCGGGTTTCGATACCCGTGGTGGACAGAGCACAGACAGCCCATTGCGTAGCTTTGTGCTTAATTACAAACAAACAAACCAAAAGCCTTGAGAACCTGATAATGTGATTAAATTTATTAAGATTGATACTTCGGAATAATAAAGGCAGTTGTGTTATTCCACAAGTCACAAACGATTACGTATTCTCAGAAAATATGTACAAAACACACATAACATGAAAAATAAAAATCTCAAATAACACACCTAAAAACTGAGAGGAACGGACTCAGTTTTATCGTCAATTGAAGTAGAGAAGCAAGGTTTACATTTTAAAATAAAGTTCACTTACTTATTGAATATATTAGGAGACGTTAGAATTTTAGCTTAGAGTTTAGTTGGCCTGATATTTAAGCCAAAAATAGATATAACTTATGAGAGAGTTTACCAAAATGATCGATAAGACAATAATACATCATCTAAGAAGGATTACGTGGACGACAACTGCTGGTCTAGACAATAGTTGCAAGTTCGGTCAAACTGACAGCTTGCTGCCAATTCGGAATTCTCAAAGAGAAAATAAATATCTAAGCTCTACAACGTCACAAAACCAGAATACGAAGCTATGATAACGAAGATTACAGGTAGCTAGCTCATCACGTAAAATTCTCCAACTAGTCAGGAAAATCAGAAAGGAATATATGAAAGATAACACTGTTCCACCATATATGTGTGCTGGAGCAATGATACAGAATAGCCAATCCCTAAATACCGTAATAAAACAATCCAATGAAAGAATTAGGAACACTAAATTTCATTATACACAACAAATATCAAATTCAAATGTGTTACGGTTGCACATGAAAAACAAAATCTTAAGTCTTTGATTACCAATTAACCAAATTAATTTTGTCTTAGAACACCAAACATTATTTTCTATTTTTGATAACTTTTAGTTAAATATTCATAAAAGCATTAATTAAATATCGATTCAGTCTCATTCAAAGATGTGATGTATAAAATCGTAGATATTAATTAGAATAAAAAAACAGTCTGAAGAACAAAATAAAATCAAACTCTTTTCACAGGTTGAAA